GAATCAAGCTGAGACGATACAGTTTCTGAAAGAGAACGCTACCAACAGTATTGCACAAACCCATCGTCTCCTTGCAGCATCCTTCTTTTCCTTGCGGGAAGTACTGCGGCACATTCCGATCAGCGTCAGCGTCAATCTATCTATTCTCTATCCGTCACCTGCCGAAGAACAAGACCTGAATATGACATCTCTAGCCGACGTCAATAGCTTCGCGGATGCCATTCTGACTGAGGTATTCGATCATGCGCGTGTTGCAAGAGACCACAATCCGGACTTCTTACGCTCTGTGGTGTTTACCTCGTATAATCATAATATATGTACAGCTCTTAACTGGAAGCAGCCGAACTGTAAGTGATTGCCATCGTGCATGCCTTAATTTCTGTGGCTAATCTTGAGCTCCATCTATTAGTTCCTGTACTTCTTTGCAATGATCTCGGCCAAATTCGGGACTTGGCTCGGGATATTGGTTCCTTGCCAGATGTAGACAGCAGCGGCCGAGCGTCAATGTCAATCAAGGAGTCAGCACGTATTGCGCAGAGCAACAACTTCATGGGCTTAATATGTCGCTCTAGTCTTCTGGTACGTCATTTTCCACCTTTCATTTTCGCGTACCCACAACGTCACAACGTACACTCGGCACCAAAAGAGTGAGAGATTTACAGCTAACATAACGTCCCTGACGTGTTATAGAACGTTGTCCCAGCACTTGTGGAAACAATCAAAGGCCTTGGTCTTGTCCTTGTAGCCGATACATCCGACGAAGATGAAGAACCAGAGAGAAAAGTTCCTCTGGCAGCTGCTGATACGATGGGCGTCGCCGAGTGGGCATACCGAATGCCTGACGGTGTCAACGGTGTTATGAAAGCCAACGGCATTCTGAGATTCAACGACATGATTGACATGTAATGCTCTGTCTCCTTGTCTCTTGTCCCGATCAGTTATATTACTTCCATATTTTCGCCATCTTTAATCAACCTTGGGTGGATGTTCATTGGGCCGTTGTAGACATGCGATTGCTTTTCATTCCCCGAGGGCTTTTGACTTTATTTGCCGTTAGTCTCCTTGTTTTCGCTTTTCTACTGTTTGGCGTCCCCAGTGTCTCTTCCTACCTATGGAATCGCTTTTGTCTCTACCGGGGAGCGAAGTCAATGCCCGGCTATATCATGTCTACTTTTCTTCTTTTGCATATCAACTCTATTGGTTACTGTTCAACAGCATCGCTTGAGAGGAATACCCCGACTGGAATTGTACAAGTGAGCAAGAATATGGTGCGACGTCTCTTTGATATTAGATTTTGCAGCTACAACCCTCTATAATACACCTTCTAGTCTCGCAATTCGCTATGCCAATAATAATAAAGAGTAGAGAAGACAGTAGTTGCAAAGACATGATCGTTATCCACAGTAGGAAGTGACCTAGTGCTCAACGACGCGTTCGAAGTGCGACTTCGCAAGGAGCGATTCCGGAGCTTACATGCCCCTTGGCCTCCGCTTCGCGAGATCCCACCCCCATACTCTTAGGACCTTGACGACTTTGGGGGTAATGGCGGCGGTGAGGGGTACGCGAATGAAGATGAGACTCTTGTGAACCGCATACGCCAGGGCGAGCTGAGTCCACAGACCTGCGCAAAGAAAAGAACGTACGGATCAGCAAAACTTCAGAGAGGAGATGGGGATTAAGACAAGTCAGGGGACACCATACTGGCTCCGTCGCCATTATTCTTCTTCTGAGCTTCTGTGGTTTGCTGGCCAGACTGGGTAGTTGAGACCTCGTCCTGGCTCTGTTCCTCCGGTGCAGACTTTGCCCCGAATAAGCCTTTCACTGTTTCGACGACAACATGTTCGTAGTGGCCTATTCGTTCTGCGCCCAGATGGCGGACCGCAATGAAACAGAAGGGAAAATCCATGGCTGATAACAAAAGGTAAACACCCAGCGCAGCCCAGCCATACTCCCGGGACAGCTTTTTCAGCCGCTGAGACAGCGAGCCTGATTCAGCCGGCCGTGCCGATTGATTCGCCCTCGATGAGTTGAATCGCCGGAAGATTGACCGTTGCAGAGTGCTGGAGGGATTGTATGCAAAATTAGTAGTTGACCCCGATCGGCGGGAAAAGAATCGATATTGTGGATTGGGCTTCCAAGCGGGGGCGGAAGCGAATGCACGACGAGACGGGAATGAAGCAACTACATTGGGCGTAAACAGCGTCTGTGAAAATGTGACATTCTTTCTGACAGAAGATGAAGAGGGCGCATGGCTGGCTTGACCGATGAAGTGCGAAAACCACCGGGGTGTAGATATGAATCTCAAAGACATGCTTAAGAGGGAATCGCAGGAGCCAAGCTGTTGATCAATTGCTTTAAGAATGTTGAAAAGACAAGCTGAAGAGTGCCTATGAGGAGTTGATGCTTTCACTCTTAATGACGTGCCACCAAGGGAAGAAAATAATAAGTTACCCATTGAGGATTCGTTTTCGATACTTTCCGGTTCTCGGCGTGCCGATACGTCCGGACGCCGGGATGACAGACTCTGCTGATTCTATTGTGCAGGCGACGGACACACCTGGATAACGACTTCGCCCGGACTTAGCATGATGAAAGTCCGTTTCAATAACTTGCTTCCATTGGGACTGTTCCTCTATCGTCTGTACTAGTTCTTGATGAGAGATCCTCCCAGTAATCACCCCCATTGGCTGTTTGTACCTTATATTTACCCGATATTGACACCTCAGGCAAAACACTCTTGACCGCCTTAGCCCTTCGTACGCTCTCCGCAGTTGGGAAAATCTCAAAAGAAAGCCGAAGGGAAGAGACTGTTTCGATTATCATTCAATCACCGGTCAAACGATACTCGTCATGCCACCTCGACTGTCAAGGAAGCTGTCGCAGCTTCCCATTCTCTTCCTGGGTCCTCAATCGCTCACTATCACTGGCAATGTGTCTGTACGATCGTTCGGCATAAAATCGTTAAATCCACCTAAACCCTCTCGGTTCAATGTCGGTCCTGAATTACCTGTTCTTAAATCGACGACCACAGCTGCTTTGGAACGCAAGGCGAATACCCTACCTCTTCGAACCGGTGCCATCGCTATCAAGAAAGGAATGACCGCTGTATACGATGCCGAAACTGGGAAACGCATCGCTTGCACTGTTCTGCAGCTAGATCGAGTACAAGTCGTTTCACACAAGACAAGACAGACGCATGGCTATAATGCCGTTCAGGTCGGTGCCGGTTGGAAGCATCCCAGCAATGTGACGAAGTCACTCTTAGGCCATTTTTCGACCAACGGGGTGTCGCCAAAGAGACACGTTTACGAGTTCCGAGTCAAAGATGAGAGTGGCCTCTTGCCCGTCGGCCAAATAATCAATGCAGACTGGTTTCATGAAGGTCAGTATGTCGATGCGCGGTCCAACTCTAAGGGTAAAGGGTTCGCCGGTGTGATGAAGCGACACGGCTTTCACGGACAGGACCGCAGTCACGGTGTCAGTTTAACCCATCGGTCGCTTGGTTCAGCGGGGCCTAGTCAAGGTGGTGGTTCCAGAGTGTATCCTGGAAAGAAAATGGCGGGAAACATGGGTAATGAGCAAAATACTGTGCAGAACTTGAAGGTCCTTAAGGCCGACGCAGAGAACGGTATTGTCGTTGTCAACGGTATGTTTTTCTTGCTACCCAACGTTCAATACAGCATTGTTGAATGGTCGATACTGATCTTGTTGCAGGTTCCATCAGCGGGCCCAAAGGATGCGTAGTCAGGATTCAGGACGCTATCAAAAAGCCCTGGCCAAAGGTTGCGCCTGTATCCGAATCGACTGCATAGCCCATGAGGAGATATTGGAGTCTTGATCCCTTCAATGTACTATTACACTATCCTGTTTCTAGAGCGGCGTCTGTATATGATACATAAATGATATCCTGTTTGGCATTTCCTCCGAATCACTTGAACGGTCTCTCCGCATGCCATAGCTGGTGGAGCTGGCAGTCCGAAGCCGAAAAAACGCCTAATCCTATGCATGAAGATTACTCCGATGTACAAACCTATAAAAATCATTTGTGCCAATGATCCTTGGTGGGGTTGTGTGTCCGAATGATGGTTCAATTGCTTTGGCAAAAAGGGTCGCTGTCATGGTCAAGTAGCTGCACGACTTGACCGTCCTCCGTCTCTAGGCTCCATTCTTCAGTGCGGAACTGCTCGGATGCGACAACTATTAGCTAGGTCTTGAAAGTGGTGTATGAGGCTTGAGTCACGCACAAAGCTCATGCGGTCCGGCCTAATGCTTCGGAACCGCATTTTTCCCTGACCCTTTGTCCCCTTCACCCAAAAGGAGATATCAATACGACCATGAAGCTGATTCATTTCCCCGCTAATCCACGGTATCTTTTGAGCAAAGTAGATTTCGTCTCCCAAGATTTCCCGTGCACGAGGTGACGTTCGAAGGGCATATAGCGTGCTGCTCACGACGCTCGACGACGACTTCTGGTAATTAAATATGCCAAGCATTGCAGCTCCCACGACTACCACAAATATCGGCAGCGTCTTGATCCATCGGCGCTTCTCAGTATTAATAGAAGGAAGCTCTCGATCCGCCCGTCGCTCCATCAAGGGCCCCGAGTTGGCCTTGGGGGCCGGGATAAGACTGCGGTGAGGAGGCATATTGCGGCGACGAAACAGGAAGGCTCGTGGGACGCCAATGCGCCTTTGCGCAGTATGAAGCGCCATTGTCAGATCAGTTGTGGAGGAATAACAGGAGCCGAGAAAGGACGAGTAACAAGTAGGCAACCGTCATGCAGTGAGTGGTAGCCCAGGTAGTAGAATGTTCAAGTTCGCACCAGCGACTACCTAAAAGAACAAAGTTGCCAAACAAGACAAACCCACCCTTCAAGATCCTGAGCMGGCGCCGTTGTACGTCATGCTGGCTCGTCCTAAGAACTCCTTCTCCTCTGTTCCCAAAGAGTTGTCTCAACCTTCATGCTACGGTATCGGTCAATACAGCTAGACATCTGATTCATGGCTACTACAAGACTTCGCAAAGCGTTTCGCTACCCTGACGATTCAGGCGATGATGAACAGGGCCGAGAAGAGCTGGACGAAGAAGGTCTGTTCTGTCTTTTCATCATCGTAAATACTGTATACTGATAGGTTTCTGTAGAACAAGACCTCGTCATTAGACAATTGCAGGCAAAGAATGACAAGCGGAATTCTGAGTATACTGTGAACACTTCTCTATCCTCGTTGACATTGTCAACGCAGAAATCAGAGCTAAACATGACGGTGCATGTAGATCATCTTCTCGGTCATTCCCCTCTTGTCAGCAATGATATACGTCCCACCGATTATCTCAAGCTCATCGACTTTACCTGAACGACTTGTCTCCATTCTAAGTGTCATTTCTCTGTCATTGACGGCCTATACTATGAAGTATCATGCAATCGAGCGTCCAGACCCCAAAGGGAAAAGGCCAATGACAAAGACAGACCTCGTCATGTCTGTCCAAAATAATGCCATCCCTACTAACGTTGCATTGTGTGCATTATTGGCGCTTGCGTCTATAATGGCCTCACCGACTGCCATCGTCACATATTTCATTCCGGCAGGTGAGTCTCCTCACGGACATGTTCTGCACGGACATGTTCTGCCCTCAAGTGTGGGAGCTTATGTGTACAGTAATACTCGTGACCATTTTGATAGCGCGGAAAGTAATGGCGTCCGTCGACATCAGGCATCTTGAGAACCTCCGCTATGATTACAAGGGCGCCTAGGCGAATCTTGCAGGTGTCGAACGACCTTAGGTTCACTTGTTCCTCTCTGGAATGTCTTGTTTCCGTCACTAACATATTCTATATGTATCAGCGACGATAGGCAGCATGCTTGGGGGTCAGAAATGTGCTCAAATCGCAACGATAGAGCTGGGCCTGAAAAGAACAAATATCATTGCATATCACCAGCATACTGATTCCCAGACGCTGAGTAGATTAATACTCTCTCATGAATCGTTCCACGACTGGTTTGTTACACTCGCGTCTGATCTGTCCTAAACCGCCTAATTGAGACGAAGCCGAACCGGATACGTCATGATTCTCTCCCGTTTTAAGACCTTCTTTTCTCTGTCTCAGGGAGTGATGGAATCTGGCGGGGGAAGAATCGAGCCACTTAATTTCTCCAATGCGGGATCGACTGGTATGTCCCCATATTCCGTCGCCGGGGCGGATACTCGAGGAGAACCCTCTAACTGAATGCGATATTCAATCATAGCCTGTTGACGCTTGTCGTCTGCCTCTTTTTGATGCTTCTTCAGCCTTTCTATCTCATCGTCACCTGCCTTCTTTAACCACCTGAGATTCGACTGCCGGAAGTCGACCAGGGTTTCCACACTGCGAGGATCCGCTATTTTCCTTGTATCATGGCCGAGTAGTGTACAGGTTGGTTCGAATGGTTTCATCGAGGGATCTCGACGGCACGCTGCGCAACTGCAAATCTTCTGGCATTTAGGGCACATCCAACGATACTCTTCCATGGTTTCCTGTGGTTGGATATTGAAGGCTCTAAACAGACTACCGTAACAGTAGTTTTGGTTGCAATAGTCGCAAGAAGCGAGCTTCCATATCGGCTCAATATACTTGCAGATGTGGCAGCGACCACCCTCTTCGGATTCGTGGCTGAGGCGAGTCTTCCTCCGTTTTCGAGCAGGACTTTCTGAATCGCTCAAATTGTCTTCGGTCTTGCGCGTCACTGGTTTGGTGATATCAACCCACGGTCGCCTTTTCAGTTCCTCCTGGCACATCTCAGCTAGCGTTTTCTTGCCGTAGCGAGCTCTCTCCTCAGTAAGAGGCCAAAATATCTGACCGCTCAGATTGCTCTTGTTGAGCTGACATATTTGGTCTAGCCAATTTTCGTATTTCCCGGTCAGCTCACTCCAAGGAAATTGTTCGGCCCACTTTAATCTCGAGAGGCAAGCGCAGCTTCTGCCCATGACATAACATTCCATGCAGATATCGTAGGGGTCCTCGCCATCGACAGTCTGTCCATCCGCGCACCACGGGCAAGTCAAGAATCGATTAAAAATATTGCACCTGCAGTATGAACAGGTGATATTACTATCAAAGGGAATGTATTCGATGTCCTTCTCTTCCGCTTTATCCTGTGAGAAGCTCTCAGATAGCAAAATCTGGGTGTACAGTGCGAAAAGATACTCAAAGTCTTTAAGCAACAGTTGCTGCTTGCTATCCATACTTTTCGCATCAACTTTCTCAAGGAGCTTTGAGTAATGCTCAAGCGAATGGTACACAATTGCCTTGTTCTTGTACTGCTCATCCCGGCAGACCATCCTAGCATGCGGAAGGGCTTCACTCAAGGCTAGGCTCAGAGTTTCCACAGTAGTTCGATTCCAAGCCACTTTCATCGTCCTTGTTCCGCGATTCCAGACCTGGTGCGCTGCCAGCGGGGGAATCAGAATAAAATCACCTGGCCTTTGTTCAACGATATACGTCCTGAATGGAGCGGCTTTCCAGGCATTGATCTGCGCGAAATGATCCTCGATATCGATGTCATGGCCCAGTGTCGACTGCCAATATTCGGAGACGACTCGCCGATCCTTGCTCTCCGTCATGAACCAGATGGACGACCCTGGCATAGTTTTCATGCCATACTCGACTGAGCCATCCGATGCCTCAACCATTATATTCTGACCTAGAGTTGCGCACATTTCGTAATGTGACGGTGTATAGGTGCCTTCATGACCGATGTAACACATGAGGTTTTCGGCGCGCATGCTCGCCGGAAGGCAGCTCATGAGGTCACCAGGTTTGCCAACCTTCTTTTTGGGTTCCGTGTGAGTCTGGTGCCCTTCAGTAGCTGCAACTGATTCTGCACCTGGACCTTGAAATGCTTCTGGATGTTTATTCAGGTAAAAAAGCGGCGGGGGAATGAGATTTTTCAAATGATCGTGCCATGTCTGCGGACAATCAATATCTTTTAGATAGATCCGCTGTCGATCAGAGTTCTTGTAATTGAAGGAATTCCATTGATTAGTTAAGAGTGGCATATTCTTCAAGTAGTGGCCAATCGAGAGCGGAAGATTACTCTTCGCGGTCAAATTTCGAGCAATCTCCTCTTTGAAATGCGAGTCTGAGATTAGACAGGAACTCATAGGTACGAGACAGCATCACTAAGCTTGTAAACTTACTCTTTGTTGAATGATGGCTCCTTAGCCATTTTTCAGAGAACACAGAGCGGTCCAGCCTCTCATGAAAACCTTCAATCACTAAAGGCTTTCCGCCTAGAACGACATGCAAGCGAACGAGTTTATCGAAATTGTCCAGACCGTGTTCATCAATGGAGTTGCAATGAATTCTAACCACGTACTCAAAATTTGGCGTAGATTTCACGAGTGCAGCGACGTCGAGGTCAGGTGGAATTGGTTCAAAGGCCGCGCGGGGACGCTGGGCGGGCATTTTGCTTCGAAGACCCTATATCAAATGATAGTTACGAAAGAAAAGCTCGTCAAGGTCTAGAATCGCTTGATCTGCGGTGTCACTAATCGCGATGTGTTACTGAGAAAGCCGGCAGTCGGGCATTGTCCCAGCAAGGAAGACTCGAATGCTTCACAATCACTAAGGCAGGGCCGCCGGTCTGTTCATAAACCATAGATGTATGTGTGCAGTTATGTTCAGTGACCAAGCAGTCGTTCGATCCGCTTGAATATGGTAGAGCTGTAAAAGAGCGGGTTGTAGTCGCGCTGGCATGAGGTAATGATCGAACGCGGCAAGCTTCTTAGGAAACAGTTCGAATTGTTGTTGTTCCTTTGGCAGCAGTCTACAAATGACTTTCGAAGCTTCCTTCGCTAGTCATAGTAGAGAAGCGCCCCAGTCCCAGGTGTTTATGGATGTCCCAACACCCCCGACTTCGCAATAGTCGATACTTCGCGTCCTTCTTGTAGGTCAACCCCTCTTGGGTTGATTAGTCCAGAACTTACCTAGGTATGTGATCTACTGTGGAGTACCTGCATGCGCTATTCCTCTCTGGGGTAGGTGGATCAACTACAGGTCTGAAATCCGGCAGACACGTGAAATATTTTTGATTTCCATACATCCAGTACGACGGTTTGAACTTGGGGAGACCGAGAAGGAAGCGCAAACGCCCCTTCCAGATGTCACATTGCTATTAATTAAGTGTACACTAATTGTGGGGGAGACACATGGTAGTGCATCCGGTGCTATTTCAATCACGGTAAGGGAGTAATCTGACCGTTGCTAACCAGCTTTGCTCAGCTCTAGCTGTTTCTTTCTTATCCATGACTAACCCTTGTTTCGTGCAGTAGGAACCAGTCGGGCAGCTCTATCTGGGCTGATCTCATTGAGGAACAATTTGTGGAGGTTTTCCCCGATTACAGCTCATTATAAAATGAGATTGCAGTTCTCTTACTTCCCTCCTGTTCGCCCTGTTCAGATTTGCAGACGTCATGGAACATGGAGTAGTCTCTTGAACGATAAGCGATACCGCTTACTTCGCAATTGCAATTCCTTGACTGCTTCGTCGCGGGTCATTTCAACAGGACGCCAATCAGCGTATACTGCCAAACCCAGGTCAGCAATCATGAAGGGGACAACATCTCTCATAAGTTACCGGCCACATTCTTCCCAGTCCCCATCCTCTACAGATCGCCCAGCAGCCACAACGGACAATAACGCAGCAACGCACTATGTACCTCCCCAAAGAGGCTTCGTTGCTTCTCTTCCCGAATCATGGATTCCGTACGCTGAGTTGATACGCCTCGATAAACCTGCTGGCACATACTACCTCTTCTTCCCGTGTATTTTCTCGACACTCCTCGCGGCACCTATGGCATCTGCCACACCTATGCAGATTCTTGGCACTACTGGTCTTTTTTTCACGGGTGCATTAATCATGAGAGGCGCCGGTTGTGCGATCAATGATTTATGGGACAGGAATCTGGACCCGTATGTCGAACGCACAAAATTCCGGCCGATTGCGCGAGGTGCCCTATCTCCTAAGAAGGCATTGATTTTCACCGGTTCCCAGCTTCTGGCCGGACTAGCTGTCCTGCTACAATTTCCCACCCAGTGTCTCTGGTATGGTATTCCCAGCCTCCTGTTGGTGACGACATATCCTCTCGCCAAGCGCGTCACTTACTACCCTCAGGCTGTTTTGGGTCTCACATTCTCATGGGGTGCTATCATGGGATTTCCAGCGCTGGGGGTCGATCTTCTTAGCAACCATGCTTCTTTGGAAGCGGCAGCAGCCTTGTATTCTAGCTGTGTTGCCTGGACAGTGCTGTACGATATGATCTACGCACATATGGACATCAGAGACGATGTTGCCGCAGGGATCAAGTCAATTGCCCTTCGACATGAGCATAACACTAAGACAGTTCTTTCTGGTCTGGCGGCAGTTCAAGTAGCGCTGCTCGCTACTGCAGGAGTAGCAGCAGGTGCTGGACCAATCTTTTTCGTCGGCACCTGCGGCAGCGCAGCCGTTTCCCTCGGTATCATGATTTGGAAGGTTCAATTGAAGAATGTCAAAAACTGCTGGTGGTGGTTCAAGAACGGATGTTTGCTGACTGGGGGCGGCATCACTTTGGGATTGGTCTTTGAGTATATAGCTCAAGCCACTGACCTGTATAAAAGCGGTAATGATGGACATTAAGAGGATAGCACTCACAAACATAGTACAGGATAAAGGTTACTTTCAACTTCCGCAGCGAATCTCTTTCTTCTTAACAGTATTGACACCAAGATGATGCTCCACTACGTTGACTATGTCTTTCCAATCCATCATCGCACCATTACCCGTATCACCACAAGCAAGAGATTTTTCGATTGGGTGAAGTACAGAGACCCAACCGTCTTCATTTGTCCCACTCACCCCCCATTCGTCTGTTAAGATCTTGAGTTGGCTTTTAGTAACTGGGTGATTCCACATCGCGGTGTTCATGGCTATGATAGTTAGAACAAAATTTGACAGTGATCAAAAATATATTAAGCCATCTCACCTGGAGCAACGAACACTACAGGCTTTCTTCTGTCTTTGAGACCAAAGTCTACTTTCCCAGTGGTATCCCACGCTCTGATGACGGAAAGGAGCAGGTTATCCGCAATTCCCATTGTCATCTTCGCCATCGTGTTGGCCGACAGAGGGGCGACAAGCAGTACGTGGGCCCATTTTCTAAGTTCAATATGCAAAATTGGCTCGCCACGAATCCAGGGGTCTTTCCACTCGTCTTCGTCTCGGTAAATAGCATCAACCCCGGGTAGCTGCTTTAGCACATCGAGTAGAGGTTGCTCTGAGCTTTGACCCGATAGAAATTTCTCGGCAGACTTGGTCACAATGATGCGAATACAGACATTTTTGTGACGGCCAAGTGCTTCCGCGATATTTGGCAATTTTATCGCTGCCACACTCCCGCTTGCTGCTAAAAGAATGTGTATTTTCTTATCTTTGAATTGCTCTCCAGCTGAGGAAGTCCCAGTGCCTTCCATCGATCGTCGACGTTCCACACAATGACTACACTGGGGGCAGGAACCCGTTGTCATATGCGATGATGTCAGCCGTCGTGGATTCGAGTGATCGAGCAAGACTGGCAAAGCTCATCCAAGGATCTAACTCATAGAGTCACGCACCGCCCTTTATCTAGATAGATCGATGATTCAGGCTGAAGGCGATGTGATTCGGACAATTCTTTTTCATCCGCAATTCCCAGCATCGATCCTGTGGGGTAGCTGTGTTTCGTGGCGGAAACTGGGGGTCTGAGAGCCATGGTGACTAACGTCACATGATAAGGTTCGCCATTTACCTTATTTCGGTAGTACGTAGAGAGGTACGTCTATAGAATACTACAAGCATTTTATCTGTATCAGATAAATCTTTGTCGATAGGTCAATGATGTTTGCAAGGCAAGCTTTCGCATCTGTAAGTCAAGCATACTTCATTTGCCCCTCACAATTTGTTCGCCCATTATGAGCTCACTTGTGTCCATCCAGGCATTCCGACCTTTTTCCCGGTCACCGCTTGTCTTGACTCCACGATTCACGGCTTTCCAATTGCCGCATGCCCTTCATGCCCGGTTTCTCTCGGAACAAACAAGGTCGGCAATTGACAAAGCCATTGCGTCTGCACCTGTCGTTCTCTTCATGAAGGGTACTCCAGAGACACCACAGTGTGGATTTTCTCGAGCTAGCATACAGATTCTGGGCTTGCAGGGGGTTGACCCGAAGAAATTTGTCGCGTTTAACGTGTTGGAGGATCCCGAGCTGCGTCAAGGTACGTATAGTGACCCTTCTTCAGGAACAGCAGGTTGTGTGTATTTGCGCGTGAGTCAGTCTGGCTAATCTCTAGGCTTTCGATAGGTATAAAGGAATACTCCGATTGGCCAACAATACCCCAATTGTACCTTGACAAGGAGTTTATCGGAGGTTGCGATATTCTGATGTCTATGCATCAGAACGGAGAGCTCGCAAAGCTGCTTGAGGAGAAAGGGGTCCTAGTGGCAGCTGATTGACTTATGTGTGAGGTTCAATAAAGGGTAGAGAATTTTGTTTACTCATTTGCTATTTCATCTTCTTCATTGTAGAATTATCATGATTTCTAGTATGTTGTGCTGTTACTAATATTCTCAAAAGGCAAGAACGTGGTTTTTACCTTTGTTCTACTCAATAACTCGAAGGCTACAAGTTGTGCTCATCTAGTTGACACTATATTGGCACTGACCAATTTACCGTACTACAGTAATCTCTAAGGTAGTCTGAGCTGGTATTGAAGTCAGAACCTCACCTGCGAAGATGATTAACTTACGACTAGAATCTGATTGACTACAGCCTTAACGACTACTCCATGATAATTTACAAAGAGATCATCAAGTCACTGTGCACCACGTTCCCCACCCAGACTCTTTTCTTCTGATCTAACCAGTTCTTCGATAATGCCCTTCTGTAGCTTGGCGCGTTGTCGCTCTTCATAAGCCTCACGACTCTTGAGTATCCTATCAACAATCTCACCAGCGTTCGCATGCTGAAAAGGATGATCGCTTATCTGCCTGAATATTCCCATTCTTTTGGGAGCAGCGTAAGGGTCGTATGTCAGTGGAATGAAGGTTGTTGGCCCATGGTAAACAACATCCGGGACACCAAATGGCATGGCTTCCAAATACGGCTGGCTAGGAGAGAAAGGCGCTGAGAAAATGACAGCATGAATATACTGGAAGAAATCATTAGAGGTTGTATGACCATCGCTTGAAGGAAAGGAACATACTCGGCATTGAAGGACACAAAGCCCCCGCTCAAAAATGTTCATAATAGGATAGTTGAATCCCTTCCAGTGATTAATCACATCATCATCATGAATGCCGGCAACGACATAAGCAGGGGGATAATCTTCACCGAAGTCGTGAAGTCTCTTCTCGACTTGTTCCGAGTCATACCATCCTCGTTGGCGGCCTTCCAACTCCTCAAGCTCTAGAACCTTTCGAAGAAACTCGATGTGACCCGACGAGAACAAATCGAATCCGCCATCCACATAGACTACCCGCTGACCTGGCTTGATTGTTTTGCCATTCACCAGAGTTTCGAATGTACCAGCTTCCTCAACTGTGTCGCTAACCTTCGCCGACTTCGAACCGGTCCAAGTCCAAACATGAGGACCAGGGCGCAACCCACTCTCATCTGTTGCATAGTCCCGAATCCTTTGCATTAGCTCCACGCCGAATTGTTTCCTTTCTTCCTGATTGCCGGATCCCTCTACTCCCACAAGGGTGTCTTTAGGGCTCTTTATGAAGTGCCCTTTGGTGCATAGGAGCATACGGCCGACAAGATCGGTGGTTGAAATGCCAGGAGTTCTCTTCACGACCCGAAAGCGCCCAGCTGCCTTGACAAATCGATAGCAATCTTCTCCGTTGCTGTCAGATGTGATATCATCGCCATGAACGACATATTTGCACCCATAGTGTGACACCCATGAGAGAGAAGTCACGTAAGGTGCTCGTGGTATACAACGAGTGGCCCAACGGCATGCTTCCACAGCAGCTACCCTAAAGCACGCAGTAGGCAGTACCCGTTATCAGCAATCTAAGTTGACCTGCCGAGTTTCGTAGAAAAAGACTAACCGTTCCTCTAATGTCATTACCGTCGGGCCCTTGTTCTCGAGAATTGCTTCGTCCGAGTGTACTCCAACATAAAGTTCATTACCCAGTCTACGGGCTTGGAGCATAGCACCGGCGTGTCCTACATCAATCCAGTCACCCTTGATTAGGGAATCCTATGACTTGAGAGCAGAGGAGAATGACTTCTCACCATGATGGCTAAAGTCAAAACACCCATCTACCCAGATTCGATCTTCCCGTATAGGTACATCATCCTGAGGATCCACAGGCCATTGTCCTGGCGCAGGGACTAGTTCTTCAGGCGACACCCTCATTGTTTGGAGAGGCGCTTGTTGGCAATTGGAAAATAGATCCTTGGTATAATGTAGACGAGCGCGTCGATTTTGGTGCGGAAATGATCTGGTATCGGCGAAAGTCGGTTGATGCGACAAGGTGAGTTGATAAAGCCAGAAATTACGAACCCCAAAAGGAGGTGGGGTTGGGTGGGGTGTTATCTGTCACATCTGAGATGTACTTTCGGAGTAGGGTATGTTAGTCTAGGTATTTACTCTGTACCAAACCGTCTCAGCTCCTTCATCTACTTGGCATGTATGACAAGGTACTCCGCACTTAAGCTCAGTCAGATGAGTGTATAGAAAGGCATTTAGTCGTTGGTTGCCTTATATCGCTTGTTACTTTAGACATTGACTTGTTTAATGTCATGGGATTTTGCTTAACCCCCAGCATCAATACTATACCTATGCATGAGCTACAAGATTGACGGCACCGTTATTAGGTAGGCATATGGAGAATGGGGAGCCAAAATAGTTATTCCAATTTACCCGCGTAAATCAATATAAGTGCACGGATAAACAGTTGCCTGGTCAAGGTTAACTATAAACTATGGTTCTCCTGGCACCTTGATGAGGAGCGAGTGTTCCGCCATGATGTCCAGATCCTTGGGACGCTCAAAAGTAGTTTGGGATGCACTTTGGTAGATTGGTTATCATCCTAGGTACCATTATTATTAAGGTATTATTATTATTATTATTATTATTGAGGACGCGCCTCCGTAGTGGATTGGGCTAACCCGTTCCTGGCTCGGAGCCAGCCCAGGATCAACTAAGGGCCGGCTCCATGCATTCATTATCGTTCGTGCAGGGGACTTAGCTACTCCGTACACCGTACAGAGATCTCCAAATAATTGCGCAACATCGGTCGACGCATATCCGCAACTCGTAAACCAACCTTCGTTTTCCTCTTTTCCAACTACTGCGCACAAACGAATCTTCACCAGCTATCTATGAGAGCGGGCTTCTGTCTGCTTCACTTCCTGTTGGAGCTGCTCTTTATCCAGCGCCCAGTTCAAGCATGATATCATCAACATTTACCCCTAGCCTTTCTCGCAGAGACACAAACAAATCAAGTGTTGGACATGAAGGTGTAGGAGGGGGTGGGCCCCCTCCTTTGACAAGTGGGGGAGGAACATTCGGTCCTCAGAGCGCTGGAGCTATCTATCAGCATATTCACGACATGGCTACGAAAAGGATATCCACTCTGGATTACCTTAGGAAAGCGTGAGTTCAAAACAGAATGCAGCCCTTCTTTATCAGTCCAACCGCTGATAAAGCTACAGCCATGAAGGTCGTATCTATTGGTTCAACACTGTACACTTCTCTCGGGCTGACATCAGCCGAATCCCCTATTTTGATCCTCGAAAACTATCCCGTCGCGCCATTAATTATCTTCTTCTCGGATTATCACTTCCGCCAATCTTGGACGTCAATTCATCACCGTCAGAATACCTACGGGCCTTAAACGCGCTTTTGATTGAATTTGAGGCATTTCAGCAAGTCCACCCACCGGATGGGAGTTCATCATCAACTCTGGCAAGAGCGCGCATTCCACAAATGTTCAAAAGAGCGGCACACGCTGGAACCAAGGGCAGGAGGGCGAGCTCTGCAACGGAAATTGGTCTTCCCATGCAATCTAGCGACCCATCTGACTTGAAGTCCATGGCGGGGAACATCACCTCGTCTACGACGGCGGCTGCCGCTGTTGTTTCGTTCCCCACCAGTGAAGCCTCCGAACTCCTCCCGGGGGAGGAATATTCTTATCTTTTAACGCCGTCTTTACCATTTGAGCCGGATTATTTCGAAACCTTCGCCACTCTTTGTGACGTATTGATTGACTGCTATACCAGGCTCACCGCTTTGGTCTCCACTCCGTCTGTATGCACTGTTGCTTTGGGCGAGATGTTCACAAAGGCAGACGCAAAGCTTCGGAAGATAATGGTCACAGGTGTCGTTCGAGAGTTCGAGGATGCAAGCAGAACCAGCGCCAAGAATGAAATAGCTGGTGTCAGTCGTGTTGTTTTGGGCGGTCTTCTTGGCTGATTCACTCAATGTCGCCTTTGTAGAAGTCACAGAACTGGTGCATGCATTTGCTCCAAGTGGGCCTTTCGATCTAAGAGGACGGATGCTCCTGAGGTGCGTAATACAGTTGGTGCCACGTAGACTTATGAATTGATCCTTCGAAGGAAAGGACAAGATCTATTCTATTCTAGAGTAATGAGACACGGTCTGCTGCTTCCACATATTTCACTTAGCACATGCAGAAACAGTCAACATAAGAGACTAGAATAATATCGAGAGGAGATAAATCAACAAGCATGGGTTGGTATCACTTTTGAAGCCATGAACATCGCAGGAATTGGGGCATCAAAGCCGTCGAGTATGATCAAGCCCAGTGTAAAGAGTATGCATGCGCCAAAGTGAGACCACAAAAGCAAATGAAATTGAACAGAACGCCGGCTCAAATGGCATGCATCGACAACAAATATGGAAACATCTTAAAAAAACGCCAGTAAATGCAAACGCTTAATGATTCTAAAGGTGACGAGTTCAACGAGAAACAGGCAGCTCAGGACTGTAATTTGTTGTTCTCGAACTCACGTTGCTCACCGAAAACCCTTCGGCTCATTTCAAGAACAGTTTCGAAACCCTCTCTGCCTCTCTTGGCATTTTGGCTGAATCTCTCAATACTCGCCTCCTCTACCTTGTTCTTGATTTTCTGCCAGCCGCCGCAAAGAGCAGTGATTTTGGCTTCTTGACTGAAATCCGTGATCGACTCTGGTTTTGATGACGAAGGCTGGTAAATAACCGTTTCTCTCACGTTCAAGACATTAGACCACGTGAGATTCGTTGAGCACATAGTGACCTTCTTTGCGCGAGGATCAACGTATGAGATTTCGTACACATGAGACGTAGCGCTTCCCCCGAACAGTGAGAGAACCCATTGCGGTACTGATTGATCACATGTGATGAGGCGTTCCGTACGCAACTGAATGGGACGTTCAGGTTAGCCATTTCGTCCGAGATGTGGAGAATGATGATATTGAGAGGAAAACCCACAATGCCAGTCTTCGGATCTACCGTCCGAGATATTGTGTCTACCGCCACAACATGGGTCGACTTGTCATTCCAAGGGCAATATTTCCGCCAGTTCGCCGTCGAAACCTCGTCCCAAGAATAATCGAAGGTGCACGTCGAGGAGAAGACCTTCATGACGGGGAACGCTTGAAGGCAGTGATAGAAGCAGGGGTCGCTAAGCAACCGAGTCGCTTGCTAAAGAGCACGATCGAAAGTGTAGTCTGCAGAACGTCGTGTTGATCGAATCAGACTAGCAGTCGAAATGGATTCAAACAAACTGAGGACTCAAGAATATCGATAAGATAGAGTATAAAATGGCAAATGTCTATATGATCATTAAAGAGAGCCTACAAGTAAGGAGGGGCATAGAAGAAGAGGCAAATATTCAACTACAGATGAGTAAGAAAGCCTTCAAGAAATGATGAAACTGGATGGCGATCATAGGCTGTCGTGCAATGATGGAACGCGGGAGAAGAAAATTTTGGCATATTCGACTCGCAAACAACCCGGGCAAAAGGCGGACTCGGTCAGGGATCGGAATTTCTCGGCTGTCAAAATGCGACACCATCATACCTCTCGTAAACTACCTTAACATTCCTATTACTACTATCTACCTCTATAAGAACTTAACATGTAGTTCAAAGTCATATGAATCATAACAAGTGACTGATCGAAGAGCCATATGGAAGGGTCCTGTACGATGCTGTAATAATGATAATGTCTTATCAGGTACTCTGAGGGATGTCCTGCTACTTGTCACGACATTCTTTGTCTTCGTACTTTTCTCGCTGAACCCAAACATTTATCATTCTCAATGTTGCTATTATAATCTATTACTATTGTTGCCAACCCATCTTAAGCCACAGGGGAAAGAAGTTCATTAACTTGCAACAGCCATAGCTGCTTTCCAACTCGGAAGATAAAGTCGGTGTGAAATTGTGCATAAATTCCGATTCCCATTGCTAGAAGGATCCTAGGCATATAAAAAGGTATTCTAAGCCCTTCTAGGCCTCAGTCCCTCGGCATCGAAAGCATCTCAGAAGACCGGACAACATACCACCCACTAAGAATAACTGCTCCTTCTGCTGTTTGATATCAGTTTCGCATCATGGTAGAACTCAGGAAGCGAAAAGCACCCTCACAAACCCCTGTCGCAGAAAAAAAGAGCAAAAGGATACAAGAGCCGAGTCAGGAAAACAGTCCAACCTTGGTACAATTAGGCAAGGAAAATGAGCGCTCTACGCATGGCTCAAACAAGAAACCTCCAACTGTCGGTGACACTATCAACTTGGATAACTTTGGTGGCGAGATAGAACTCAATGATGGGACGAAAACTACCCTGAAACATCTCGTCGACGCAAGCAAATCAGGGATTGTTTTGTTCACGTACCCAAGAGCGTCCACTCCTGGCTGTGAGTTTATCTCCCCCACATTTCTTCCTTTCACGTCCCGAGAATAGTATTCCGCGGATCTTTGGGGAAGAGCGGCTGCATCCCCCCTCTCGTCAGCGGTATTACGCTGTAGTTCCTGGCTCCCTCAACGGATGAAACAATCACAGGAGTCGAAAGAACGCTCATCGCTTGTTAGGCACAAAGCAAGCTTGCTTGTTTCGCGATAAGTATGATTATATAACGTCGAATGGCCTATCGATATATGGGCTTTCGGCGGACTCCATCAAAGCGAACAGCTCGTTCAAAGCTAAGCAGAGCCTGCCCTATGCTCTACTATGCGATACGGCGTCTACTCTCATTTCGGCTCTTGGCTTTAAGAAGGCCCCTAGAGGTACGACAAGGGGGGTTTTCGCTGTCGATAAGCAAGGAAAGGTCCTACTTCTGCAACCTGGTGGGCCAGATGCAACTGTGGATGCTGTACAGCAAATGATCTCATCGCGCAACGAAGAGACGCAGGGACAGATCAAAGAGTGATTGGAAGTTCATGAGGGAAGTCGGGTTCAAGTGTCAGACATTTTTTGAGCGTGCTTTATCTCTGGGGGGCCGAGTAATATCAATGATTCCGAGATCGCTTTTCATGCCTCATGTCATACTTCATGCGCCGGCAATCTTTGCATTGAAGGAGGAACTTAATCCACTTACGAAAATGAAAGGGAAGCTTATGCTTACGACTACTGGTGGTTCTAGCTCAGTATAGCCACTGTCTTCAGTGGATGTTATCTTTGATAAATAGGGATGAATAACCTATAACTTATAATTTCGGTCAATGGTCTTACTTTGTCACATATATCAGCAGGTGTGACCACAAAGGTGCTTGAGATGAAATCCAATATCTCTAGCTGTCACCTTGGGGGGTCCAGATATCCTATCTGACTAAGATCTACCAAAATTCCTTCTGCTACGCCAAACCTGACTTGAAACACCACATGTCAGATTAGCCCAAGGGGTCAAAAGCTAATCTTTACATTTAGATATTAGCCAGGGAAGCTTCTATACACGTTGAATGGATACGTTTCTTACCGATTGCCCGTGAATGTTTGGGTATCAGGCGGCACGGTGTCGGAAAAACATAATGTCCGTTCACAGTTCGTCCATCCGAGTACAGCCATCTTGATTCCGACCCTTCGTAGGGCAAGTGAATACACAAATCGTGAGACTGAGAAACTCCGGAGGTCAGTACTTAAGTAAGCAAAGGTCATTGTACTGGTCTTCATCATGGCCAGTGAGACAATGGAGCCATTGTGAGGCTGACACGCAAACTGGATAGGATCTCCAAGCACATCATGGCTCGCGACGTCCTCAAAGCCGCCAAGTCCGCATCGAATGCGATAGCCGTCCATAAGGTAGGCGTTTTTACTATGCCGACGGCGGTACTTTTCACTTATAATTTTTTGATAATCAGAAATACACTGTTCAATCTACCGGTATATGGGAACGTCTTCGCCGTCTTCTTGCCGTCGATCCCAATCGATCTACCGGAGTACCACTTAACTCGCAATATCGACTTCCAACTCCTGGTGCTCTCCCACCGCAATCTTACGATGATCCCGTCACTGTCCCAGCAGGAGACATTGCTGACAACCCTTACTGGAAGCGCGACGTTCGGAGAAACTATCCCAGACTTAGCACAGTCAACCAGGCAGATGCTGTTGGCCTTCTTACAGTAGGCAGCCGGGCGGTGCCTAAGGATGATGTTCTGCAGATCGGGCAGGCGGGAGAGCAGCAGTTGGTTGAGGTTAAACAACAAGGAAAAGAGCGTGGCCTCGCTGCCATATTTGAGAAGGACAAGAGGGGTATCCAAGGCGTCCTGGGCGCCGATGGTCTGCCGCCAATTCCTTGTAATCTGAACGCTTCCGCGGGGGCCAAGTACCAGCTTGGCCAAGGTCAAGGCTATCCTGCTGTGTATGTCTTTATCTCCGCATCTTGCTGCCCCAACTTACATTTGAATCCAGGTATCCTTGCCGGACGTTCGTCTAAGTGTTCATTAACTGCACATCCGAATCGAATTATTATCCGCTTTCTGTCCTGGGACGTAGACCATCTATTAACGAAAAGTGTCCAAACATGGGGTGGGTCTGATAGAGCAGGCTGATGGCAATGTCAGCCTTTTTCTGATCATGCAGAGCCAGTCTTCCATCCTAGCTAGCTACATGTGCATAGATAGTTTTACTGGATAATTTCCCTTGCCATGTATCGGAGTGAATTTAGATGCTCTGGGAATCCTCTTATGGTCTTTCTATTCGTCTTACGTTAATCACTCATGTGGAAAGCAATGTCACCATGTCTTATAGTTAAAGTGGGAAACAGAATGTCGAACAGCATTTACCAAGGTTAGATATAGTGCAGATATGGCATCATGAGCCTAAGAAACTTGACATGCCGTCCGTTAATCCAACTTAATCTAAGAGAGAAACAAGTGTCTCAAAATAAGCCTTCTTCAAGCGTTACCTAAACTGGCTACGATTTCAAACCTGGTCCTTGCAAAATTTAGACATTGGCATGAGCAAAATAGAATCCTATGTCTGGCTTATTCAAATTCAGGTTTTAATTCACAAATTAATAATTTCCCCGACCATGAACCAGGACTCGCTCCTAATCAAAAGGATTTGTGCGAGTACCCCACCAGGTAAGGAACAGACTAAGCCCAACTGTCTCAAACACTCTGCTGACGGCCCCAACAGCAACAGTATCGAGGGGTCGCTTTTCAGTGAAGATTTGACTGATGAACTAGAAACAGAATGGAAGGTCAGTATATCACGTGAAAGTTGGAGTAAGAGGATCGGAATACTCACACTTGGCGCGGAACTGGCCATGAAAATCAAGCTTCCCAAATAAGCAGCTCCCTTATAGCTCAGTGTTCCAGTGGCATTGATCAGGGCTGCAACCCCATAAGTCTGCACAGCGCTTCCAACCAGAGAGCTACCCCAAGCCGCCGCTGCTCCAGCAGCCTCCTTGGACTTGATGAATTCCTCCTTGGAATTGGCGGCCTGCGCCCGATGATAAGTATCACCAAAGACAGGTGCGAGAATACCCAGTGAAGCTGTATGGGTAAAGATAGTACCCAACGCAATCGCCGAGGGTTTCACGGGAGGGAGATCTGGCCGATTATAAGTTATTATAATGATCAGTGAGACCACAGGGCAGAGAGAAGAGTGCACACTTACAGTGGAGAGTGGTCATTTTGAGTGTGGAAATATCGCGGTGTAACAATGATTCTGTATGTTGTGAGATCTCAAACAAAATTGTCGTCCGTTGAATGGGGGGAGATTCGTTATTTGAACACTACTGAACCAAGGTCACATGGGGTTGCCATCATACAGTAGGTACTTGGCAGGCTATGCAGTGACGTCGTCATGATCTAAAGACAAGGACACGCCGACTAGCTGCAGTGTGAAGATCCCGATATGGGGGATCGAGTCATGTTGCGGACCAATCAGTTGAGGCAGCTCTGATAATAAAGTCGATTTACCAACGGTTTAAGGTAGGAGGCTGGAAGCAAGATCCCTTGGTGTGGGGAAGGCCAGTGGCCATGACGTCAGGCAATAGACACATACATGATACCTCACAATAGGTACCTTCATACTAGCCAGGCTTGGGCGGTGAAGTAAAAGGATCTTAATAGTAGGTAGGCCTCGACCAAGCAAGCGAACACTACCTTAATCTCTCTCTATTCCACTACAGAGG